CCCCAAAACCCCAAAACCCCAAAACCCCAAAACCCCTCTGGGAGAGCACTTAGTTGAACCAAATATCAGAATAAAAATAAACTACTGGCGCACACTTTAGACCTAAAATTTAGGTCCGGACAGAAAATGGCACCAACTAAGGGTAAAAATTATCTAACCTCTTGTTAAGAAAATCAGTCTAGGTGTTTAGTGTGATACCCTTCTTGTGTATTGAATTTTCTCTCACTCTATTATATCTACATATCTACTTGTCGATACTTGAGTTTCAAAGCCTTGAAAGAAATAAGTCACAATTGGAATGAAGAAGGACAGTTTAGTTTCTAAACTTAGAGAACATATTAAGGATAGTGTAGGTTTCTTAGTAAATGGTTGATAAAGAAAAGCCAAACTAGAAACTATATTGTAGTATCCTAATAACCAAAAATAACGGAAAATGTATAGATCAATATTGCTAGTAATTATAAGGTAATTTTAGTTTGTATGAAGCTCCTTATGCTTCAAGAGATTGCCAACTTGTGTAAACCTCTTGCCACAAGTCTTGCATTGATATGGTCTTTCTCCTAGGTGCATCCTTGCATGATCAATGAAGTTCCATGTTTTTCTAAACGTTCTGGTTCAATTTCCATAAGCGCATTGGAGAATCTTGCATTTACGATTAGTAATATTGGTCTTCCTATATGAAACAATGTGATTGTATCTTTCAAGAATTGTATCAGTGCTATTTTGTGGACTTTCATCTAAGAAATCCATCATTCCTATATTTTTGTCTTCTGTCTTGTGAGTAGTTCAGGTATTCATTGGCAATTTTTGCTCTTCTTTTGTATTGATTAACCCTGACTTTTCAAAATCTGGCGAGAAGGCATCATATTTAGCATCTATTGGGGCTTGCTCAACTTGAGGACTATTATACTTCTCGATTTTCAATGAGTTCAACGGCACTCCCTCATAGATAGGTTTTCTTCATTTCTGATTTTCACAATCAGAATTCGATTGACAGTTTCAACTTATCTGTTTGTGTTCAGAAACGGTCCATCTCCTTGGATCAACAAGAGTTGGCTTAGGAATTCCTCCTGTTGTCTTAAAAAATATTGGGAGATTCAACAAATTCAATTCAGAAATGCTTGAAGAGAAACTTTGGCTTAAATCTGAATGGTTAGATGCAATTTCACGTTGTCTATTTTTATTATCAAAAGCGTTATTCTCGATCATCCAATTATTAATTATTCAATACCAACCAGGACTTAAGGGGTTTTGGGGTTTTGGGGTTTTGGGGTTTTGGGGTTTTGGGGTTTTGGGG